AGCAAACAAGGCAGAAAGATTTGTTATAGTAGGAAAGAATAAAAAATTACTTTTATCTTTTTTGATATAAGAAAAGTCACTTTGATAATTTTGTACCGTTCTTGTTTGCTGCACAGTTTGAAAAACTTGACAATGATCGTTATAAAAGGTAATAAAGACGATAGTTACTAAAATATAGTTCACCTGTAATTGGAACAAGGTATGTTGATGGAGACGTAAGACGTACCCGATGAATAGACACTGGCAGTTCTAAAAGACAATAGTACCTGAAAAAAAAGTAGAAACTATCCACCAACAACGCCATAACTCCAATGTTTCGACTAATGTTAGTAAATTGGGCGCAAAAATGATGACTTATTAATACCACACTTACAGACATCACTAATATATCAATAAAATTTTCCTCACGTTAGCAAAAATAGGACGGGGATTACTAGCATGCATATTAGAGTATGACGAGGGGATAAAGATAACATATGAGAATCCGTTAGTGCAGCATATGCAAATGCTCCGAAAATACCAGCAGCACCGGTTCCGGAAGACCATGAAGCTACCACTCGACTGAAATTATTTAAGCATTCGTTTACCGTTGTTCTCGTTGTTTGTTTGGTAATTGAGAATTGAATTACTATTTGAAATTTATTGGCCAAACTAGTTTACTCGTTGAAATCAATCCTAATATCTATTTTACAGCTGGTAACAAATCAGGAAACTAGGAATATACAGGATGAACAAAAAGAATAATTTTGGTACTTTGAGAAGTGGGAAGTTAACGACAGGTAAGTGACCTCACCAAGACCAGAACCAATACTGGCGACGACCACACCTACAAAAAAACTCTATAAGGAACAAGCAATACTGGCGATAACGACACCACACGAAAAACTTTTAAACTGTTTTCTCAGGAAAAACAACACTCTATACCCTTCCCAGCACTGGTTTTCACAGAGATGCTGTTAACCATGCGATACAAAGATCAGATCATAATCAGCATGTAACAAAAACTGTGCATACCCGTTAGTCCAAAGAATATATTATAAGAATAAGCAACAATAAAGAAACTGGCTGCCTGTAAAGCGACTACCACCAAATGACGAGTTCTAAAAAACAACGTAAACAACTGTAACAATCAAAATTGATAAGTATCAGTTCTTTAAATTGTAACAACATATTTTTCTGTAAAAAATACTCTGTGAACCGATGAAATTCTCTTTCCGGGCGTCCTGGATTACATACTTCCGATGCTATGAATAACGTCACCAAAAACTTGAAAATTTT